CTGGTCATCTTCATTCAGATAATCTTAGATAAATTGTAACTGCAAATTGGTACTTATTCGAGGTGACCAGGCACATGAGTTCCACAGACTTTGTTGTTCAAAACAACATGTCTGTCTTGTGCTTCCTCAAATCACACTTCCAATTTTCTCTTCTCCATAGTCCTAATGAACAACAGAATGCCAGAATAGACAGTGGGACCATTGTATACACATTGAAGTGTTTGACAGAGTCCGTATTTCTACTAATGAGGGATGACTAAACTTTACTTCTACTTTGTCTACTCTTATGATGATAAGCTGTTACCAAGTTTAGAGTATTGATACATTTAAAATAGTTGATAACATAATTAAATGCTACAACTTAATGTAACAGCAGTAAAAAAGTCCCAGTAGAGGCTTAATATTTGCTGTTGTCTTACAGGGAAAAAGAGGAAGGGGGGTGGGAAAGGCCTACATCCATCACTGGAACCTGTGCATATAAAACCATACCAACAGTTTCAGCGGCTGTGAAAAACTGAAGCCAGACATCATCTGTTAAAAAGACACTTTGTGCCCCAGCAGCTTAACACTGCTTCAGAGCTTTACTTATTCCATGAAGTCCCTAATTTTTGAAGTCAGCACTGTGAAAACTAGGAGTGAAGTAAGTCTCCACAACAGATAATGATCTGTATTTTGTATCTAGGCTTCCCCTCCGCCCCCCCACTCCCCTTTTAAACTGTTTACCACTGCAGACAAGCATATATATAACAGCACACAACTGGAACTAACATGTGCTGGCAGGGCTCCTGCATGTGCATAAATCACACGGGACAGTTTGAATGAATAAAGGCACACTTGTCAAAGCCACGCATTTCTTGTTTCACATGTGTTTCATTGTGTACTCCTGTCTCACCCAACACATCCTGGAGTTGAGAAAATTCCCCGTAAGACTCCCTGATTTTCATAGAATCATAGAATAGTTTGGGTTGGAAGGGACCTCTAAAGGTCATCTAGTCCAACCCCCCTGCCGTGGGCAGGGACATCTTCAACTAGATCAGGTTGCTCAGAGCCCCATCCAACTGGCCTTGAATGTTTCCAGGGATGGGGCATCCACCACCTCTCTGGGCAACCTGGGCCAGTGTTTCACCACCCTCAGCATAAAAAATTTCTTCCTTATATCTAGTTTGATATATAGTATCTATATTTTGATATAGTATCTATATTTTGACATCTGATCTTAAGTCTAATGATTTCTCTCAGAAATGTTGGCAGATGTTAACAGTCTTTCCTCTAAAAATGAAGTTAAACTCAATTAATACTAATTTTAAGCAACACATTGAAAATATTACAGGATATCAGGTTTTACACAAGGAAGTTTTGCTAGAGTAGATTTTTAGGTTAGTTACAAGATTTTTTTAAAATAAATTTTTACAACTGGCAAAAACCCTGGTGCAGATGTAGCATTAAAGTGGCATTGTCTGTGTTCACTGACAAGCCTGGTATACTCTGCACCAGTAAAAGCTTTTTTACTGCTATGAGAAGCCATACCTAAATGAAGATAATTTTGCCTATGCAGGAATACTTTCATAAAGGAAAGAGGAATGTTAAATCTTTTCAGGTCAGCCTTGCTGAAGAAAGAAGCCTTTCCTTACAGAAGAAAATAAATGACTTCCATAATCTGAACGGTCACAATAAAGGCAATGGTATTTTTCATATATGTAATAAATTAATTGTCTGCAATAATGTGGATTAGCTGAGTTATGGGTAGATAGAACAGTTACATATCAAAAAGAATAATAAGCATAGAGCTTACAAAAAGCTTTCAGGGAGGTTCTTATGTATTCTATTTTTTTTTTTTAATTAAATAATCTTGTTTACCTAAAATGTTCATGTGGCCTTCATTAATGTAGAATCAAAGTGCTTCACAGTGCCATTTAAATAATACACCTGTAGGTGACTTGTTTAAGTAAGGAGAAAGTTTTAGATGATGCAGACGTTAGAGGCTACGATTCCAAAATACTTTGACTAATACCCTACACCTATTCTCCTTCCAT